TCAATGATCATATTTATAAACAAAAATGGATTTTATAATAAATATATTGTTTTAGCAATAAATGTACTGAAGTTCAAAGGAAGATACTCTGTTCATAATTTTCTTTTCAAAGCCATATTCTTGTTCTATAACAGGGATGGCCAACCTTTTTAAGAAATGTGCCATTTTCAGATAAAAAATAATTATGCGTGCCACTTCAAACTTTAAAACTTTTCGAAAAAAATGAAAAGGCAACAAAATGCTACTTATAAGCTAAAAATGCAATTTTTACTCAAAGAGTTCATTTTTAATGCAAGCCTAAATAGTGGAAATTTGAAAATAATATAACAAAGGAGACCAAAACATAAACTTAGATTTTATTGTTAATCAGTTCAGTTAGTTTTGTACGATATTTTGATTTTGTTATGTTCACAATGGAATAAATTTGTTCACAAACGTATGTTGATTCCTATCTACAGCAATATCTGACAGCCAAGTCGTGTAAATTTGAAAAATTGCTTGTTAGAACAAATTTTCGAAATTCAATATGATTCGTTAGCTTTGCTTTTCAGTACATTATGGTGCTGTAGACAGTAATTTCGATTCCAGGTGGGTAACAATTAACATTTTGTAGAGAAATTAAAAAAGGATTTGTGAAAAGATCTGCTTTTCTTTTATCATTTTGAAAATCATCAAACCTAACTCTGAGAGAATCCTGAAAAAATAGAAATTACATTTTTAAATCCAACACTGCTCGGAGCCCTATTGACCTCGGTAGATTGTTCCTGAATAAATATGAATTGTGTTAATTTTTTTCTAAAAAATCAAGACAAAAAAAAAAGTGAAAGTTAGTCCCCAAAAGAAGATATATTACCAACTAGGGTAGGAAAAGTACAAACTTTTCTCTGTAATCTTAAAATTAAATTATTTTAATGTCCCATAATATCGGTAAGAAAGCTATATCACATAGCCAATCTTCATCCTAGAATAGCAAGTACTGACTGGATATACATATATATATATATATGTATATAAATATGAATTGTATTAATTTTTTTCTAAAAAATCAAGACAAAAAAAAAGTGAAAGTTAGTCCCCAAAAGAAGATATATTAACAACTAGGTAGGAAAAGTACAAACTTTTCTCTGTAATCTTAAAATTAAATTATTTTAATGTCCCATAATATCGGTAAGAAAGCTATATCACATAGCCAATCTTCATCCTAGAATAGCAAGTACTGACTGGATATACATATATATATATATATGTATATAAATATGAATTGTATTAATTTTTTTCTAAAAATCAAGACAAAAAAAAGTGAAAGTTAGTCCCCAAAAGAAGATATATTACCAACTAGGGTAGGAAAGTACAAACTTTTCTCTGTAATCTTAAAATTAAATTATTTTAATGTCCCATAATATCGGTAAGAAAAGCTATATCACATAACCAATCTTCATCCTAGAATAGCAAGTACTGACTGGATATACATATATATATATATATATATATATATAGTTTAGTGTTTTCTTCTATTTATTTTAAAATAAACCTCAAATTCCAAATTCTCGCGAGAGAAAAAAGCTTTGGAAAGCCAACTCGCACAACAAATACAGGGTGCATTCACAACACGATAAGTTTCTATTCTAACTAATTTAAGTGTATTTAAAATAAATCTTGAGGGGGAATTTTTGTTTGAGACAACCAGATTTATATATATGTAATTGTAAATAAAAGTTTTTAGATTATTATATTTTCAAATTTTTTATCAAGTCTCCGCGTGCCACTGGTTGGCCACCCCTGTTCTATAACATTCATTGCTTTCTTTCTTTAAGAAGAAACGCTTATTGGTATACGAATATAATACAAAATATAACAGTTTTATAGGTCCTTCTCGAGAGAAATGTTAAGAAACTGAAAACACAAAATAAAAAAAATTCCATTATGTACATCTAAAGTTGGGTGGGAAAAATTTCGCATTCTATTCAGGTAAAGTTTTATATGCATAGATTCAAATAAACAATTACTGATTTAAAAAATATTCTTTCGCTTTTGATTCAGTTAGAAAATATGAATTTATAACATGATTAATAAATTATACACCACAAAATTTTAAATATTTTCTAAAAAGGAATCGAGAGTATTTATTTTAGTTAACTAGAAAATTATGAATTAAACTTTAAAGAATTATTAACAATACATATACACATATATGTATAAAATATATGTTAATATCGTGCAGTACTACTTTTCGAATTTTGTTTTTAATCGTGAGAATTATTATTTATCATTTGCTTCTGAAAATAGAAATATTTATTGTAAGGCAATCCCCACTTACACACAGTAACGTTACTTACTAAGTACTAAAATGTATACGAAAAAAAGAATTTGTTAGTGTAAAATTTATAAAACTTGTAACAGATTGAATAAATTCTTCAATTTAATTTCTTATACTTAGGAAAATATTTCAGTTTAATCGTATACTACATATCTATAAATCATACCAGCTTGTGACCTAGTGAAACTACTAGTGCCAGTAGAGCACACAAAGTTTTTCAAGGGGGGGGGGAGTCCATGGTCGAAAGTCCCCGACTCGCGTATCATACCGCAAGACAACACCAATTGATTCTTCTAATTTTGTCGATTTTGTTCACAAAAAACAATAAAAAATAAATCATTAAATTAATAATTAGCATTAATTTATAAAATAAATTGTTAATTACAAGTGCTTAATTAAATTGCACGTTATATATAAATATGATTATGACCGATCGAAAAGAACTCAAGGCTTTGGGGGGTGTCCGGACCCCCCTAGTGTGCGCCACTGGCTAGTGCCGTTCCTTACATTATACATACAGAAAATTGCATCTATTTTTCAATTCGTACTATTAGTTCACTCTCTCCCTATATATATATATATATAGAGAGAGAGAGAGAGAGAGAGAGAGAGATGGCACCTCAAGCTAAGTAAATTAACAATATCATATTTTATTTAAAATTAATTGTATATGTCTTGGTGGTACTTTTATTTTCTATAAATTTTAAAACAGAATATAGAGTTTTAAATGTGTATATATATAGTATTAATGTTATTTTATCAAAACTTAATAATTTTCTGCGTTACTGTTATGGTCCACTGCCGGGGAATATGTTTGTAATTCTCACGTGGTAAGTCTTCATCTAATAGTTTTAACTTTGATTTAAAAATATTTTAGTAATTATTACAGGCTATAATATTATCGTTTTAGATTAATAGATTATGGTTTTATTTATAATAATATAGTTAAACTTCTCTAAAAATTTCTTGCTTTCCCTATGGCCCAGAGTATTGGCAAATTCAGGTGAAGGTTGGCTGGTCGAAAAACACTGTTTAAACCTGCAATCCTGGTTCCTAAGGCCAGGAGTTTGCCCTAGTATTTCTGTGACTAATACTATTCTATCATGACTATAGTTATCTTAGGTACATAACTATTTTTTGTATATATTTTTGTAATATATATATATATATATATATATATAGTAACATAAAATGAAAGAAATACATGGCATAATAAAATTGATAATACGAAATAATATCACTAACAAAGCTAGAAGATTTAAACCAGATTTAAAGAAACACACTTTAAAAATGATGGAAGAGTCTATTATAGAAGAATTAACTAAGCGTGTATGTATAACATGGAACAGAATTAGAACTTTAAAATGTAAGAAGCCAAAAGAGTCAATAGACTAAAATGAAGACCTGTTATGATTTCTAAAGCTGTTGCTGAATTAGGACCAGCAAAATTAGGGTTAAATATATTTTATGGATCCTACCTTCCCCTGTTCAGCAGAAATTTTATACATAACAATAAAACATACCAATATTGAAAAGTTAGGCCTAAAACCAACCACGTGTAATTTGCAACCAAAAGAAAAATAAAATAAAAATAATAGAAAATATGAAAGGAAATGAATCCTAACAAACTACAAATAAAAATAATTTTGAAAAGGAATAATGAAGCAAAAACTTACATGAAAAGATGCAAATAACCGGAGAGTGGGAAAAACTGTACGTACGAGAACAATACGCTAAATGATCGTTAAAAATGACGCGTTAAGTTGGTAAAACCAGATGCAAAAATTAGTGGCGCCACCTGGATAGATTTTTTTTGTAATTAAACAAAGCAAACTAAAACAAATTGAAAATAATAAAAAACAGAAGGAGAAAAAAACAAAGAATAATACTTAAACTTTGAAAAGGAGAATTAGAGAGATAATTTAGAAATATATTTAAAAATGAAGTTACTTGGATAGTTGTATTCCAAGCAATTATTGCGGAATAGCTTAAAATTATTTTGCTTAACATCATTATCTGTGACTAAATCGTTATTTCATTTTATAAAATTTAAGATGATATTTCTAAAAATAGATAAATGTAGGTTACTTTCCCAAAAAGGCATTTTAATAATGTTAAAATCAAAAGAGTCTCTTTTATCAAAAATATTACTAATTAGTATATTATTCTTAACAATTAATTGTAGGTCTAAAAAGTTTGCAGAGTCATTATTATAATCGGTTTTTAATAATTTCAGATATTGGGGATAATATTTAAAACTAGGAACAAAATTGACTATATTACTAAAGATGATTAAGTCATCTATGTATCTAAAAAAGTAACAAGAATCGATACTAATGTTATCATATTCATAAAAGTGCAGATAAATATTGGCTAAACAGTTACTCGCAGGTCCTCCTTGTGGAAGACCTTTAATTTGCTGATAGTAAGAGTTATTGTAAGATATATATATATATATATATATATATATATATATCTTGTTCAAATTTTCAATCGTTAATAAAATATTTTCTATTCATCCATTCAAGTTCGAATACATTTTTTAAGCTTGTAGTGGATGACACTTGATGTTAATATAGTTTTTTTCAAATATTTATTCACTAATTAAATTAAAAAATGAATAAATAGTAACAAAAAAAGTAATAGCCCAAAAACCTGTATGGAAAGAAAAAGTTTTCGGTGTGTCCCTGTAGCGCAATGGATAGTGCGTTGAACTTCTAATCCAAGTATCGTGGGTTCGAATCCCACTTGAGATAACCTAGTTTATGTGAATACTAGCTTTTACCCGCGGCTCCGCTCGCGTTGATGTCTTTAAATAACTGTCAAAGTCGTAATCATTATCATTAGAAAGTAAATAATATAGTATAGTATTTTTTTTTTATTCCTTGACTGGAACCAATAAAATTTAAAAATTTTAAAATTTAGCTTATTTTAAAAAACTGAAAACGTAATTTATTATAATAATTAACAACAAATATTCAATAACCTTAACTATTAATATTTTTAAAAATCGAAAGTATCTACGTCTAATGTACAATTCCTCTTTAAAAGAACTCAAAACAGAATATTATTCTAAGATGCTACTGTATACCATATTATATGTTCTTCCGTCAGTTGCAAATAAGTGAAGATTTGAGCATTGGACACACCGATCAGGCTACATATAGTTGGCCATGGGAAAACATTGCTTTTCCAAATGCACCCCTGCTATCTGAAATGTTAGCTTTGTTAATAGCAACATTAAAACTGGGGATATTGAAATCGTTTGAGTTGAAACGGTAGGTCAGTGGAGATACTTGGAATTCGAGGTATGATAACACTATCCCTTTTCATGACATGTGTTCAAATATTGGCACCAAGTATATTCTGCGTCAGTTTTGTGATCCAAAGCCTCATTCCTTTACATAGTCGAGGAGCATCAAGATTTTGCTTAACTTGTATATTTAGTTTTAATTGAAGTTTATGTGAGGGTACACCCGAAAGTTCAAGTGAATTTAAGAACTTCGTGGGATATGAAGTACTTTGTTCTTTATCCATGATTGTATTCACTGATAAATATTTCTTCAATTCCACCCCTCCCCTGCACGTCGTTTAAATTTGCAATGTTGATTTTATGGACAATGTCATTGTTAGGCACCAATGTTGATCTTGCGCGCAACCACTGATCCCAATTTAAATTTTGTTGCAAACCCGGGTAAATTTGAGCAATAAGATTTACATCATTTTCTTCAACATTACAAAATTCTCTGGAAGTAAAATATAACCTCCAGCATTTGCGTCCAAACATTCATAACCAATTTTCAATTACGTCTCTACATAATGTTCCGAATCTACGTCATTATGAAGATGCACTCTCATAATCGTTTTCAGAATGAATTGTTCACCTTTTCCACATGAGCTTGAATTCACCAGCTACCATTCCTCCTATAATATCTGTACTATCTCGTAAATCCTGTAGAGTCCGATTAAACGCTTCTACAGCTTTCTTGTGAGACATCGTACTTTCATCCCAAACTAAAAGCTTACGTTGTGGAAGCATCCTGCCTTGAGAGCTATTTTTTCTGAAATTTCAGATGAGTGATTCTTCAAATGCAAGATTAAGCGATAGTTTTAAAACGGAATGTGCAGTACGACCGTTGGTCAGTAATATCGCGGCTATACCAGAAGAAGTCATAGCAACTGCTATCTTCTGGGTTTTTCTGATGGTCATTAATAATAAGTTTAGCAAAAACGTTTTTCCGGTTCCTCCAGGGGTGTCGAGAAAAAAGAGTGCACCAATGCCGGATTCTATTTTACGTAACACTTTGTTCTGAAGTTAATTGAGGGATAAATTCTGTTACTTGATGCAATGCTATAAAATCGTAGTTTAATTCTCAAGCAATTTCATTATCAAAGCTAATTCCGTCGACACGTCTAGGACTAATCATTCCAAAATCATGTAGCTTCTTCCCAACCATTCTGAAAACCTTTATTGCGTTTCGTTGTAGATGTGTTCATTGAAAGGCATATTCGGTTGTTTTTCGTCGCAAAATATCTTCCGCCATGTAGTCTTTGTACTTATTCCAAAAATTCAAAGTAATAAATACTTTCAAAACTAATCAAAACTACTAAAGTAATCAAAACTTTTTATAAAACTGTCAATTAATATTACCATAGAATTTTCAATATCACGCGCGTGCAATTCGCTAAAACTTTATTTCGTTTCCCTCTTTAAAAAGTGGGATAAAATTTGCATTAAAATATCTGGGATTGTCGGAATAGAGAATTTCTTAGCCGACTTGGCGATATTTCTCAAAGTTTGAGTTTGACATTTAACAAACGTAACGTAATAAACGTTAGACGTTTAATAAAAAACCATTTAAAAGATTGCTTTTTGTAAAGATGCTAAATTACACTATGTTTCAGTTATTTGTTACAAATGTGAGAAAATTTTTATTAAAATTTCCATTATTGAACAAATGCATAATTTTGCGCCAACTTGGCGGGAAGTAAGCAACGTCAACGTTTTACCCGCATAGCTCCCGTTCCCGTGGGAATATGGAGATAAAATATATTTTATGTTACTCCCTGATAATGTAGCTTTCCATTGGTGAAAGAATTTTTAAAATCGGACCAGAAGTTCCAGAGATTAGCCGGAACAAACAGACAGACAGAAGACAGACAAAAATTTTAAAAATTGATTTTTTGATATAAGTACCGTATATACCTTTAAATGCCTTTAGTAAAAAGCTGCTAATTTGAAATTACAAACAGACACTTCAATTTTATTTATTTGTATAGATGATTTCTTTTTTATAGTACTATTTTATTAGAACAATTAAATTTAATTAATGAATAAATATATATAGTAACAAACAAAAAAAAGTCTAACACCATATATAGAAAGGAAAATGGAAAATTATTGCAAGGAAAATCACTTTCTATTTTGTCATTTAATATTGTGATTTGTCATATGTATATACATATTTATATTAATTGTAACTATTTAATAAAAAGTAACTAAACTAAAAATTTTCTTTGGCGACCTAAGTAGGAATCAACTTAATTTTTTTTTTATATTACTTGTTCATATTTATATCTCCATGAAGTATATTTCTGAATAATTTATCATAAAATTGTGGACTGTTTATGTTAAAATGACTGATAATTTGATATCGATCTTCTTGGTTCCTTTTTTTTTTCTGATCTTTGAAAGAAAAGCCGTTCCTAGATTTATTAAATGTAACACTAATTTGCAAAAATTTATTTAATTAATTACTTTAACTACACTAGGAAATAAGATCACATGAATAAAATGTCATATACCGTATTTATTTGAATCTAAGCCGCACTTCAAATTCTCAACAAGTTTTTGCGAAAAATGAAAAATAACCTAAAATGATTTATGGATGTCCAATTTTATGAAATTAAAATAAATTTTATTTTATTTTTTTAGAAAGTGAAGAGTTAATTATTTTACCAAATTATAAACTTTTAAATACATACATGAACACCTTTAATTGCTCTAATTGCCCCATCTAGCGAATTTTTTCCCTACGATTCTAAGCCGTTTCCGATTTTCAGAAGCATTAACATTGGGGGGAAGGGGAAGCTTAGGTTTAAGTAAATACTGAAAATCAAATTTTTACGTTTTTTCCCCTTTTTCACACTTTTATTAACTTAAAGCCTTAGTCATATTCAAATTTTTTCATTATCAATGCGCATTGAAATAGGAATCACCTTCAAAAGCCTAATATAAAATTAAACAAGTGAACATCTACCCGGATATTTAATGATAACTTTGTGAAAACTAAGGAGAAATAAACAAATTATTTCATAAATTATAAGCCATAATGTGTATTCAATATGAGCTGAATTCTCAAATTACATAACTGAGGGAAATTATTGCTGTTAGCATCATATTAATAATTCAAGAAGGAACCACAAATATATGATCTCAAGAACTGTGTGGGAAAGCTTACTAAGAAATCAAAAATTTCGTGTAAGAAAGTTTTCCTCGTCATTTACAAAATCATAATAATAGCAAATTATATACCTATCTCATTTTGGATGCATTGACAAGGCTACCTTACTTGATTTTCAGTAACGTTTTAAATTTAAGCATATTTGTAAGCATGTATTATGCTTTTGAGCGTATGTAAGAACTATCTTTTAAGTTATATTTTAAGTACGTGTAATTAATTTAGCTCAGGGACGTCTTAAGATTCTTTGAGGCCCTGGGCCCAGATAAATTTTAAGATTTTTTTGAGGCTCTGGGCCCTCATGCAAAAGTAGGCCTTACACGATACCTTTAAAAGTACAGTATATGGCATGCATTATCAAATGGTAATTTTAGGAAAATAAATGTGCACGACCCACAATCTCAAAAATCTAGGAACATCCCACTCGACCGATGGTCGCTTTTCAACTAAATGAGTTGAATAATATAATTGTTTGTAGCATTAGGCCTAGGCCTAGACATGGACAATGGTCCTCACATAATAATGCAGCCTTACAACTTTTACCAGTTGACGTGCAGTTTGAAATTCCCTGTTTTTCGAAGTATATGTACGGGAATAATATTTTACCATTAAAATTATCCGGATCAGGATCTTATTAAAACAAAGTCGAGAACGAAATGAGGCCCCCACTTAGGACGAAGCCCTGGGCCCGGACCCACTTGGCCCATACCTTAAGACGTCCCTGATTTAGCTAGTACATATATTTTTTTCATCTGCAGGGTACTTTGGACTAAAATGGTTATTGTGTATGGTACTATTGCTATTGTTGTCTAAAATATTAGGTAGATTTCTATTAGCAATATTACAGTGTCAAGGTTTACAAAGCGTAATGCATTATTCTAAAGCTTGCATTTCAAATTGGCAAAATTTGTATCTCTCTTCCCTCTCATTCCTTTTCATATAGTGAATCAAACTGCTTCTTGCCAGAATAACAAAAATTCAATCTAACATATAGAAAAAGCAGTTGAATGCAGACACTCTCCAGGGAGTGGCGTGTCTAATGGACTGGACAAAAGATCCCCAAACGTGATTGACACCTGTTTTTCCGAAGGCTATTGGACGCCAAACAGTTTCCAAGATAAAACGCCTATGTAGTTAGTGAAGATATACTGTTTACTGAATGGCTGAATAGTGAAATTTATTACTGTTTTCTATAATTGATGCCAGAAAACGAATACCTCTCTCTTTTTTATCCAACTTCCTTTTTCTGGTAGACAAAGACAAAAATCTCTGACTCCATCTAAATTCAAACTAAT